ATTTGCCTTAGCTCTTTGGTAAACCGGGAGTGGAACATGTGAATGTGACAGTCCGGGTTATTACAGGAGCATGAGTATCCAGGATGGAGTTGAGGCTTGTGTTTTAAAAGTCCATTAAGTCACCGACTGATGAGAGTGGAGAGGGGGAAAGATGCTGAAGATGTGAGCTGAAGGATGAGGAATCAATGTTTTTGATGTTTCTGAAAGTGATATGGCGTTTTGGTTTAGTGAAAAAGGTTATGGGGAGTCTAAACATAACTGCCAGGTGATCTGAGACACCAACATCATATATGTTTAGGCTGGTGAGTGGAAGGGAGTCAGTTAAGACAAGATCCAGAGTATGCCCTCTGCTGTGGGTGGGGCCATCTGTGAGCTGTTGAAGATTTAGACAGTTCGAAACCTGTTTGAATTCGGCAGCTAGACGGGAAGTGTGTGAGTCCATGTGTATATTGAGATCGCCAATAATAAGAATATTTGAGTGTGCAGTGCAGAGAGAGATTAGGAACTGATGAATGTCAGAAATGAAAGTTGGTTGTGGTTTAGGGGGGCGATATATGACAGCTACTGTAGCAGAGAAAGGATTATTGCATTTGAAAACAAGGCTTTCAAAGGAGGAAGCACCGGGTACAGACAGGAGGGACACTGCAAAGTAGCTGCGATATAAAACAGCAAGGCCCCCACCCCGCCCAGTTGTGCGGGCTTTGTCCAGGTATGAGTACCCTTGTGGGCAGGCCTCATTGAGGAAGCTGTAGACATCCAGCTGTTGCCATGTCTCTGTGAGGCAGAGAATGTCTATTTCTTTTTCCAGAATGTGATCGTGGATGAATCCGGATTTATTTGACAGTGACTGCACATTAAGCTGTTCCAGTGTGATGTGGGAATTGGAGTCCAGTTTATGTAGAGTGCGGAGAACACTGTAATTCTCTCCAGGTCTTCCAGTTCGCCGTTCCCACTCAGCCATATCTGAGCTAGGCATAGCGACGCTCAGATGATGCAGATGGTGACGTACCTGTTGCACGACAGGACATGATGCTGACCAGAAGGATGCGATGGAGCTGTGGTCACCGCGTTTGGACATGACAAAGCAGCGCTCGGATCCCCGGTGGATGTAACGGGGTCGACGTGGAAGATCCAGTGGAGCTCTGTTAATGTTGAGAATCCGAAGCGGTTGTATCGTGGTGTCGATGGGCAACAAGTGGCGTGATGGCATGCCGGTGCTAACAGTTAGCCAGGATCCAGCTGAGCAGCGGTGGAAAAAAGCCATACCCAGAGGGATGATCCACAGCTTCAACAGAGGTGGTGTTCCATTCACAGACCTCCGCTGGAAGGCGGAGGCACTGGAAGATTTATGAAGACTGATGGTGCTGATAGGACTCTGAAATAGAAGAGTAGCTCTGGCTAACTCTGTTAGCGTAGCCAACCCAAACAAGTTGCCAACGGGCTAACAAGCCGACATGCAGAGATAATCCAGGGAGGGCATGAAGCACCAGACATCTCCTTAGGAATAATCCAGTTTGAGGGAAACAAAAAGGAAGCAGCAGGATTGGGGGATTTGAAGCCCAGAGAAAAGGACGATTCACTTAGCAAGCAGTGTCAAGCGTAGTGACAGGTAAGTGCAGGGTACCACACAAACTCGGTGTGTACTACAAAATAATCTGTCACTTACTGTAGAAACTGAGTTCCCAGAATACGGTACAGTAGGATGGATTTTGCAGAGAAGGACAGATTTTGACGGATTTGCAGAGAAGCGGCCAACAGCCAACGCCAGCGTCCTCTCTGCTTCCCCTTTTCTTCCTCTCCTTAATGATGAACTCGCATCATGTAAGGCGGATGCTTTTTCCAAGCTTGCGCCGCAAAAGGCTGCATTGAACAGGGCTGCAGTCAGCGCACAGAGGAGAAGCTGTAAGTAGGGCACTCCGTCATTCGGTGGAACGCTGAGGTTATCAATGCTGGCGTACCATAAAGAACAAATTATGAACAGTTTAGTTTGTGCCTTCAACTCGTTGCCCATAGGAAGATGTTACTTGGATTACAAAACCGAATATCTTCAGGAAAACTCCAAATGACACAAAACTAATATGGGTGAGTGGCACATGATGTAATAATGTAAAATCAAGGGGCCAATGTAAAATAAAACGGTGTCCCCCTTTAACTAGAGTACTTTCTGGTACCTACTATGATACATCTTTTTACTACAGCATGGGACACACTTAGTGGTTAGGGCTTAGATTTTTTAATCCTGAGTTTCTGAGTTCAGACCCCACACCCACAGACTGCCACTCTGGGCCCATGAGCAAAGACCCTTAACCCCACACTGCTCTTCGGGCACTGCCGATGTCAGCCCACTGCACCCCAAGAGAACAGGTTAAATGCAGAGATTTAATTTCGTTGCCCTGTACTTTTGACAGTGTAATGATAATAAAAGCTTTAGAAAAAAATGATGCAAATGCTGTCATGCAAACCTTTGCAGACTGTCCATTTAGGACAGTTGGTCATGGCAAGCCACATGACTTTTGTCCTTGTGGCGATCTTAGGTCCCTGGTGTGAGACCACTGGTGTTCAGTGTCTTTTCCACTAATTTTGTTGAGGTATACATGTTTTGACAAGGTCATATTTGTATAAAAATGCAGTTCTGCTCAATAGATTGTAAAACTACAGTGTATGCTAAAATAAATGTAAATTATTTCAATGCAAAGTTACAGAAAATGTGCCAGTAAGTTAGGCAGTACAAGTCCAATTGTCATTACTTCTAGAGTAAATAGGTAGTCCATAATTACTTTTCCAGGGACACAGCTAAATGAATAGGTTTTTCTGGCAGACTCTTTTAGTCCTAAAAGACTCACATGCCATTTTGTTAGGCTTGTTTGCAGTCATATTATCAAATATTTGAATGAAAAAGCCCCCAGAGTGCTCCCCAAAAGTGCATTTGGATGTCTCAGTGTTTGTTTTATCACGTCTTAAACCATCTGCCTACATTCCTATACTGTACTGTAGTTGTCTTTAAGAAAATACCCCTTATTTTTCGCTTGTAAGTCAGTTAAGACTTTACCTGAGAAGCAAGAATGCATCAAAATATATTGTGTCCAAGATTCCCCTACATGGAATCAGTATTTTCTTTGAGAAACAATTTCATACTGAGAATTCTTCTTTCATAAGGCAGACATGGCAATATGGAACAATGACCCAAATAAGATGCACTCAGAACACCGATTCAGGGTAAAAAGACAGACATGAATTTAGAAGTGACAACAGCACAATGCAACACTGTCCTAGTGAAATGTTTTAATTATTTTTAAGAAACAGTAGAAAAACCATTATATTGCACTTGGATGCTGAATTGCAGTTTTTCACGGTAAAGCTCTTCACCAACACACTGGTTGATGAATGAAGGAGCTCTGTGTTGCAAGAAGCAATCCACATGACAAGCACTTCTGTGATTCTTTTCTAAATTGCTTCAATGCTAAATCTGTGAAGGAGAGGTTGAGGAAAAACATGTCTTCAACATTTCAGTTTTCAAACAGCTATGCCTAAGCTGAATCAGAGGTAATAATTTTTACAGGCATTTCAAAAGTTCATATACAATCCCATCAAAGTATACGAGTAAAAATTGTGGAGACTTTACAGAACTAGTGGAGATGTGTGAAAAGATGTATATTTTTTTTACTTAAATGTATATTTTCTACTTGAATTTTTTAGGTTTAAGATGTTTCTACATCTCTATATGGGGTGAGAATAAATATGACAGCTGTTCTAAGTTGTGTCATGAGAAGAAACATTTTTTTCAGACATTTTAAATGTGTCTGAAAATATGTTCTTAAATTAAATTAAACCAAAATATAAATAAATGCCATCATCTCAACAAGTTCATGTCACTGCTACATATTGAGTTTTTTCTTCACGTATTTTACGAAAGCTGGTGGCTAAAATGTATTTTTCCTTCATAGATTACAATGGTATTATTTTTGCTTTGTACATAGAGCCCTTCCACTTGTGTTGCAAGTTCAGCGCACATTTGTTTATAAGTGCTCCCTAAATAAGCAGAGTGGCCTAATGGGGCTTGCAGCACAATGACAAGGTAGATCAATGACACATCTCTGGAAGCATTATACGGACATTAAACAACACTAGTTTTGCTACTTCAATTGAACAGGTTGAGTCAGAGAGATCCAAAGCAGACTCTAAGTTGACTAAGGAATACATATCAAAATATCCTTAACCTTTGAATTAATTATACACGATAATAATAATAATAATAATAATAATAATAATAATAATAATAATAATAATAATAATAATAATAATAATAATAATAAGCAATAATAATAATAATAATAATAACAATAACAAAAAACAATAATTTATTCTTTCATAGAAAATACAGCAGAAATTGAAAAAACATCATCCATGCTGATAAAAAATAAGATCAAACTTTCCCAAGAGGATTATATGTACTATATCTTTAAATATTACATTTTTTTTCTTTCCAAAGATATACAAGTGTTAGGCTGTAGGATTTCACAGTACTTTGTTAAAAAACATTTTTTATTTAAAAATATAGATCTGGAACTTTTAAAATCTAGAACTTTAAAAGTCAGATCAGTAATGATAACAACTGGATCGGTGAGGCTGGCTGGTTAGTTGCCTGCACATAAAGTTACAGTAATAACACGGGGGAGGAAAGAAAAGCCTAAGGACATAGTTTAAAAGACATGGAGGTAAGCATGTGCTGACTATTTCAAGTAGACATTCAGCCAGGGAGAAAAAGCGAGCAGCATGTTTACAAATATGGCAGAAAGGAAGAGGATAGTAGAGGGATCCAATAACAGTGCTTACATATTGGCAAATACTGTACTGACGCAGTCTTTTAATGTGTCTTTCCTTATTTAAATATTTGTGCTTTACTGGAAGTGGGGCTGATGTCCATTCAATGATTACAGCTTCCTTCAAGCAAGACCCTTGGCATGACTCCTCCACTTAATGCCAAAAAATATGCTCTAAGAGGAAAACAGGGAAAGTATATAGCAAGGAATGGAAGTTCAAAAAGATTAATTTTAATATGAATAGCTTTATATTTAAAGATAACAATGCAAAAAGTGTATCATGGCTTACCAAGAGTTTTAAGATGTCGATCCAGTCCAGGGAATGTGCCAGAAAAGATTAAACTGAATGTAAAATATTTATGTCTCTGCTGTCCACCAAGTGACCTTATTGTCTCAGTTTAAAGCTTCATATCAACAGGTGTAGGATGGCGTCCTTTCATACTGGTCATTGGCCTATCTTCTTAATATTCTTTTAACAGCTTCAAGAGAAACTGGGGTTTGTTATGTGCCCAAGGGATGGCTTTTTTCAAAGGCTTCATGTTTTATTCAAAGGAACCAAAGTTTCCAGCGTGCATGCTTCTTGGACTCTGACTTTGACTTGCGTTTTGGGGTGGAAGTGAACACTTCATTGGGATAAGGCAGAGCGGGGTACTGTTGGTTGTCCATGGGGCAAAGTCTCTTCATTAAGGGCTGTAGCTTATCCTCCTGTTGTTTAAAGTCCAGCTCAACACTGCAAAACAAGCACAGAAAAAGAAGGTCAAAAAGCAAGATTCTCAGTCAGTTTGGTACACCAATTTGTACCCAAGACTTAACTTCCTTGTAATGTCTTGAGATATTTCTATAAACCATTTTTTTCATGATGACATCTATTTTGTAAAATACAACAGCCCTTCATCCAATAAAACACAGAAACAAAATATAGTCACTTACTTTCTTTACCATTCTTAACATTGCAAAACACTTCAATACGGTTCAGACAATAGAGTCTCTGTGTCTGGTTTCGTTTTCAACCAGTAGCCTTAACTAGTAAAGACAAGTTTAGGCTGCTAGTTTAGGCTACCAGTAGCCTATTTCTGCTTCTTTTGGAGGTATGACTTTTTGTCACCAGTGTTTACCTCTTTATTTGACCTGAAATCCACGTGTGAGCTCATGTGTGTTTTTGTTTTTACAAGACTACAAGACCATCTATGGGGCCAATCAATCATTATCTTTCTGACAGAAAGTATTTTTGGATCAAGTTTCTGTGTTCTTTTTGTGTCTGCTCTCTCTTTTGAAATCTCATTCCGTTGTTGCAGAAGGCCGTTTACACAGAGCCTGGTTCTGCTTGAGGTTTCTTCCTGTTGAAAGGGATATTTCCTCTCAATTCATGCTAGAGCCCTGCTCGGTATGACTGATTACTGCAAAGTCAATCACAGAATACAAGAGACTGTCCACTGCTGCCATTTGCTCATCCAGGAGGAGGGACTTCCGCATTCAATGACTCAATGGAATCTGCTAGGTTTCCTCAGATAGAAATCTTTGTTAACTAATGTTAACCAATTTTACCTGTCAGTATCTTTTTTTTTATTTGACTCATTAAATTCCTTTTGATGAATTCTTGTGAATTAGTGCCATACACACAAGTGAACAGAATTTGCCTGACTCCACCTGCACTTGGTTCACAGATTTCCTGATAGACAGGAAAGAGAATTTGAAAATGGTAAAACAGATCTCTGACTCCAGAAGCATTAGTACCTTTTCCACTCAAGACTATGGTCTTTCCCTGCTGCTCTTCACCCTGTACACCAACAGTTGCACCAGCAGTCACTAGTTTGTAAGCTTCTATTGTTTGCAGATGACACCACCCTAATTGGGCTAATGTCATAGGGCTTAGTTCTGCCTACAGTTGGCAGATTGGTCATCTGAGCACAACCACTGCTCAGGACCGCAAGTGGGAGCTGAACAACACCTGCTTAACCATGAGGCATAGCAGAAGATGTACAGTAGTTCTTGTGGCAACTTAAGAAGTTTAGCATGCTAAAGACTATGATACTCGACTTCTACTCCAACATCATTACATTTGTCCTGTCCTCCCCAATCACCATCTGTTACCCTTCTGCCACCACCATGGACAAGGGCAGGATGCAGCATAGAGCATCAACCACATAGTTACTTTGGCTAGTAACGAGTTACTTTAATTGAGCAGTAACTGAGTTACTAACTCAATTGTTTTTGGACAGGTAATTAGTAACTATAACTCATCACTTTTTTTAAGATAGGTTTCCAACACTGATAATAACTGCCATGGAGCACTTGATATACAAGTTCAATTTGTATATTCAACATTTTTATATTCCAATATTTATTTATGTCAATTGTACATTTTCTTGTCTATGTTTAACACCTCATCAGAGTATTTTTTAACACAAGTATCTGTACTTTTACTCAAGTACGAAAACTGAGTACTTTTGCCATCTCTGTCAATTGGTAATAAGATTCTGAATCTAATTTTGAATTTAAGCTGTCACAGTATTTGCAAGATTCTTTTTTAGGCCACATAAGAAGATTTGGATATATATATTACTTCTCTTTTAGTAAAAATCTAAAAGTTCGTTAAGATGTTTAATTTCTTAGCATAAGTCCACTTTTTAAATAATGTACAAATATTATTGGTATAGTATAAAGAAACCAGAGCTTTTCCTAACGTTTACTGTATATAAAATCAGTCATTTTGCAGCTAGTAGCACATACTGTATGCATTACAATAATGTATGTGGAAAAATAATGAAGGTAAGGTGCTGATTAATGCTTGGAAACTGTTGGGTACTGTAATAAAAAATCACTTTGGAATAGTTGAAGAAGGCAACTATTACGTGTTTGGAAACCCTTGTGCTTACTACACAAAATTTGTAAGATATGCTTAAAAGCTTTTCTACACACATTGTTAAAATAGATTCAGACTTGTAAAATTTAATAAGTATGTGCACTGGATTATTGCACCCTGACCTTTTAAACATTCTAGGATTACGCTATTCAAAGTGTCTGCATGTGAGAATAACTCTGCCAACTTGATTTCTGAATATTTTTACCTCTGGTGTATGATGCTCTGCCTCTGAAATTATTTTTTCAATGTCTTTTTTATTCTTGGACATTATATTCTTATCTGAAACAACACTCCCATCAGCAGCTCATTAGCATCTCAAAAGCTGTAAGAATACTTTAACTGTTTCTGCAAGTCCCAGCTACAGTAAGTAGAAAAGGCGGAACAGGGAATGCAGAGCAGAGGCAAGGAGACGAGAGAAAGGAGAAAATACAAATATCTCTTTAAATCATTATTGGCAAGGTGCAATATTACCAGTTGGAAAAACTCGAAATCCTATCAAGGACCCAGCCAGAAAATTTAAAAAGCAGTATTATGTGTTTTACTGAAACATGGCAGCAAGATCGTATCCCTGACTCAAATATCTCACTGCTAGGTTTTGTGACGATAGAAATGGACATAGATTTAACAAAAAGGTTGAAGCGAAGAGGTGAAACAAATGACCAGCAGACTGCATGATGTAGGAGTGTAGTTTTGTGGCTACAGACTGGGATGCACTCTTAACCACATAGAGAGAACATCTGTGCGATTACTAGGTGTGTGACTGACTAAGTAAACTTCAGTGTCGATAACACTTTGAACAGTGAAATGCTTCCCCAGTAAAAACCCTAGATCATTAGTCATCTAAAAGAATTGCAGTGCAAGAGAAGCAGAGCCTTCAAGAAGGGAAGCAAAATTATTAAGGGATATACCGAAGAATTTTAAAATCAAGATATGAGAAAACAAGAAAGCATGGAACAAGGAACAAGCCAAATGCTGTTAACATCATGAAAGAAGAAGATGAGGAGTTGGAAGAATATAAAAACCGTAATGTTCATCTGATCAGCCTCGATTGGAGACACAACTGTAAAGCTGCGAACAAGAAGGGACAGGGCAGCCTGTGCTTCTTTAGGAAACTTTGATCTGTTCTAGGAACTCCTCTAGAACTTCTGGAGCTGATTTCATAAGGAAGAATATTGGACTACCATGAGCATCCTCTTCAAAAGAATGTTAAGCACGAAATAGTGTCTTAGTCAAAGGCTTACTTTGATCTGGTGCAAGACAGAGGATTATTTTTGCATACAGCCAAAACATCTACAGCAAGTCACTCAAAATATCCCTATGAGTTACTACAACATTTACCTTCTTTTTAGGATCAATTAAGAATTTTTGACTAGAACACAATTTAACTACCACTTCAAATTGGTGTAGGGGTTTTACTGATTCCAGGTAGGCTCTCGCAAGGTATACAGGTTCTGGGTGATGGGTCAGGAACGGACCCCCAGCTCTGAACCAGAGTGGTGTTTCATTATCGAGCTTCTGTGCAAGTCATGGATTTTCCATAATGAATGCCATGTTCAGGCACAAGAATGACCATTGGTACACTTGTCTTCTCTAAATTCTTCTTAGGTGTGAGTGTGTGCGTGAATGGTTGTTTGTCCTGTTTGTCTCTGTGTTATCCTGCGGTAAACTGGCGATCTGTCCACGGTGTACCTCACCTCTCGCCCATTGATAGCTGAAGATAGGCACCAGCACCCCTCACAACCCCAGCAGGGATAAGCGTGACGGAAAATGGATGGATGGATAGATAGTCCACTGTTTTCTAAAGAGAGGAAAATGGCTTAAATGTATTGTGGAGGATTTTCATTTATTTTTTAAAAAGACCTGCCCTCTCCACTTTAAAAAGAAATTCACATCCACAACGATTTTCCCGCTTCCAAGAGAGAACGTCTATTAAATGTGTGCAAGAGCACACACAAGCCCATTTCTCCTCGTGCACGCTGTTTAAAAGTTGCTGTTCTCATAGCTCATACAAGCTTACTGTGCCTGAACGTCTGCCCTAAATCCCTCAATCACTATATAGAGCAGGGCCATTTAGTGGACTTTATAGCAAACTCAGTTACCTTGCTGTTTGGACAGATAATCACTGCATTTTGCTCCGGGTTGGTCACTTAACTCCTCCTCCACTGCACAGTGCCTGCGCCTTCTTTGTTATTAGTTACCGCTGTTGGGTAGCGACAGCCTATGGCGACAGTGAGCCGCTGTGACAGCAGCTCCTCACAATTCTTTGTGAGGAGAGCTCTCCATGTAAAGCATTCCAGGATATATCTGGTTCTTCTGAGGCCTTTCTTTTCTTCACATACACTTCGTAGAAACTTTTTCCTCTTACGACTCTCTGCCATTTTCTAAGAACTGTGGTGAGAAAGTTGGGTTTAAATGACTGTCTGAAACCATATCTCACTCCACATAAACACCTGGAAGTGCACATTCGCAGAAAAAGATGGCTAACGGGACACACGTGTAGTATGGCCTTACGTAAACATATCACCAGAATGATTGGCAATTATGAGGACCATTTATTTAGATGATCCACCCGGAAATAAAACACCCTCCTCTATACCTTTAAGCTAACAGACGCTAGCACAACATACTGTATATGTTTCAGCACAGGGAATAATAAATTTTATGAATCTTCTTTGTGCTCTGCAACCTGCAGTCAAAGGGTTTTTCTGCATAAATTATATTTGAATTTGAAAAAAGAGCCAGGATTTTACCAGCTGTCATCACACCTCGGCATCGTGTCTAGTCGATGCCTCAAGTCTAGTCCAGTCTGGTCATTGTCTGATTTTGTTGTTAGGCCGTATGTGAACTTTCTCTTCTATTTAATCTCT